GGCAGGCCGCTGGTGGGTACAAGCAGATCACAGGGCGAGAGGAAGCAAGTGGGGGGGGGGTTGCAAGGGTCTTTTTAAACAACCAGCTCTCCTGGGAACTAATACAGTGAGAACTCACTCACTACCACCAACCTCCAGGGAGAGCATTAATCCATTCATAAAGGATCCGCCCCCATGATTCAAACCGCTCCCAACACTGATACATTGGGGATCAGATTTCCATATGAGTTTTGGGGGGACAACACATCCAAACTTTACCAGCACTGAAAGTAGATATTAAACACCTTCCATTCCCAAAGAGCCCAGGGTGACAACATCAGGCTCCAGTGCCACTCAAGCAAGACGTATCCTGCCCTGGCTCCCTTCCTGCCCACTCCTTACACTGACGTACAATTCTGGAGAGTCCTGAGGTAGCCTCTTCAGTGGGAAATAAGGGATAAAAACCCAGAAAGGGTTAATAGAGAAGAAACTGACCACTTTTCCAATAAGGGCAGCCTACCTAAGGAGCATCTGAGCTGGAAGGGAGTAAAGCTTTAATTGTAAAATACAATTCAGAGTTTTATTATTAGAACTACACTGCACTGAACACATTAAAAAGCTGGATAGTTTGGGGATTAGAAATGACTGGAGGAATGTTAAATTACCCAAAGTCGACCTGAAAAGTCCTGGAGGCTACCAAAGATATATCGAGTGCTTTGAATAGACAGTTTTGTGATTGCATTCCACAAGCTCGGTTATTTTACCTTCCAGATGCATTGGCATGTTACAAACAATCGTTTTCTTATTTTCACCTGTAGCACTTTCCCTCCTGTTAAAATTCTGACTATCCTTTGTGGCGTACATGTTTGGGACTTTTGCTTCTACAGTATTATGGGCAGTTCAAGTCCAGGGCCTATATCCAAGAGCCCTCATTTGCTAGCATGCGATAAAGTGCATAACACATATTAAGCACACAATGCATGCTTGACGAGTGAATGAATGAATAAATGATAGGACATCTTGAGATCACAAAGCTCTAGGAGCAGGAGGAAAGGCAAACTGTTAATTCTGAAGTGTGACAGTTAAAATCAGGTAAGTGAAGTGGACACATACTCGTTTATTGAATACTCTGTAGAGGTCCAATAAATTTTTCTTTGGTAACTGAATGCTAACATGAACGAATGCCTGAATAAATGGCTATACATATATAGGCAAGGCAAAAAGAAAAAAACACACAGTTTTATTTGTTTATTAATTCCATGTCAATAAAATGGATTTGTACATTTGTCCCTGCTTTTTGTTTTAGGTGATCCTTGTCTTTGTACTAAGCATCGGGTCTCTCATAATCTATTTCATCAATTCTGCTGAGTAAGTAAAGTCCCCAGTCACCCTTGTCTGCTGTATTAGTAAGTTGCTCAGCTAGTTTGGAATATTCTCCTTAGAGATAATGCTGAATAAATTTTCACACAGGCACGCACACACACAGAAGCTCATAAAAAATGATATGTTTAGTTCTCTCCAGTAAACACTCAACCCAGCTCTGTAAAAAGAGCAGGGGTTTCCCTGCATCCTGTGCGCCTCCATTGCTAGCAGTTGGGGTGGTGGGCTCGCTCCTAAGCCTCCAGATGCCATCTCTTCACTTGGACGACTTAGGAAGGTTTTGCGTGCTTTGGGATTCCTTAGGTGTTCAAGCCGAAGTTCTGTAGTAGTTTCTGTACTAGTTTCAGGATTTCTCATACTTTTTAAACAACTTTGGGTAGTTCTGAGAAAAGAAAATGTTAAACTTCACCTGGGAAATAAGGGAGCAGATTGTTGTCAGCTCTCCTCTGATGACATTCCCTTCTTGTATTGCAAGGCTCGAACAGTTTTTGTGAACAAAATCCAATTCAATCTGAATTTTATGCCAGTCCTTGGAATTATATTGAATTTCCAGCTGCAATAAAATTAGGTTTGCAAAGCCACAAAATCCAGGCAACATTAGAGAACCTAGGGAAACTGGTTGTCTTTATTTTGCAAATTCCTAACATCTTCCAGGAAATTTTCTTTGAATTTGGTTCAAATCAGTTCATTTGACCTAGAGTAACTCTATATCAGAAGGGTACAGAAGCCAATAGTATTCTGACTAGATAGATGGTCTTGCAAACCAAGAAAAGTCACATAATCTCTATGGATCTGAATCCCCATTGATAAAATCTAAATAGAACCAATAAACCCTGTGGAGGAAATGGTGGGTAATTTTCCTGTGATTCTCAGCTCCGCGGGCAATCCAGTGGTTTTGTCCCTGCGTTCTTCTAAAAGAAAAGTAATTCCCTTGAGATCAGAACTTAAGTGTCTGCATTGACCATTCACAGTAAATAAATAGAAAATTGCCTACACTTTCCCTTTATTTGGCCCTATATAGACACCGGTTTTAAAATGTTCATTTTTACAAACTGTCCTTGTTTCTTTTCCAGCCCTGTTAGAAGCTGTTCATCATACGAAGACAAAACCATCCCTATTGATTTGACTTTCAACGCTTTCTTTAGTTTCTATTTTGGGTTGAGAGTAAGTACCTATTGAAAGTGGGTGTAAATACACAAACACAACAAGTGCAATAGAAAGAGGTCTGCGTGTGCCTCGTTCTACAGTCTGCCTAAGTTTCAGGCTCTAAAGAGAGAGGGTCTGTGATGGGACCTAGAAATTATCTCTCCTGCACTTGAAACTTTAAACCAGGTCAAAAATTCCAACACAAATGAAAATGATTCCTTTGTTGAATACCATCCCCCTATCATAATGTCCTTTTTATTTTGGCTTCTCGCCTACCACTGAGAAAGCTTTATTAATAATCACAAGCTAGCGAACTTAAATAACAAGTCTCTGAAGATATCATTGGCCCCACTGGTGGCATATGTGTCATCTAACTACATAAAATACTTTTGTGTCTTTGTTTCATTTTTGTTACACTGATTTATTAAATAGTTCCCTAATTCGACCAGCATTTATTAAATACCTATCTTAGGTCTCCATTTCAATGGATTTATTCATCCTATGTTTGTGGGAAACTGTATGTATGTATATGTGTGTGTGCCTGTATGTGTGTGTGTGTGTAATATATGTACATATGTATGTATATATAAACATGTTCCAGATATAATTTTATACACACACACACACACACACACACACACACACACACACACACACACACACACACACACACACACACACACACACACACACACACACACACAAATACGTATTTTTATTCTCTTCCCTTAAACCACACTGACCATCAAAATCTTGTTTTTACGTGTATCTTCACTGCTCACAAGTAGGGGATTTTATGTATATAATTATATATATCAGAAAGCTCTATGAACAGCAGGAAAGTGTTTATTCTGAAGTGTGAGAGTTAAGATCCAGTAAGTAAAATGGGTATATGTCCATTTATTGAACAGCCACTAAAGGCACAATCTCTATAGCTACATAAATGTATACATATCTATACATTCTACTCATATACATGTATATAAATAGAATAAGATGCAAAACCTCAGCTGGTAAATGAAATGTAGCTGAATAATGCCATTTCTTGTGTTCACTTTAAAATTCTCGAGAGTAATAGGATTTGGGGTGTTCGTGTTCTGTTTCATAGTTTCTGGCAGCTGATGACAAGATCAAGTTCTGGTTGGAGAGGAATTCAATTGTAGACATCTTTACCATCCCACCAACCTTTATTTCTTATTACTTAAAGAGTAATTGGCTGGGTAAGTGTGTTGTGAGAGTCAGTAGCAATATTAAAAAAATAAAAACATTCATTTGTGAGTATCTATCCTTCATTTTTCTTTAATGCTTGACGGCCGTTTTAAAACTCTCTCACCTTAACTGTATGGTTTTGTAATATAAATACATTTGCACAAACCACTTTTTTGACCTCAGCACCTACCAATGCACCCAGTGCACAGTAGGTATTCAGTAGTTGTTGGTGGAGTGGCTTTGTCTACAGACTGAGGGACAAGCCTCCAACATTTCCCCTGGGGCCCCTTTATGCTGGGATCCGACATGAACTGGGGGAGGTAAAAAGCCTCCCTTGGTCTTTAAATGCTGATTGACATATGCAGACGTGCTACAACATGTTGGAGAACTATTTAATTAATTGTTTTGTCTTTAAGGTGGATGTGTTGATAGTGCATGAACATTAGGGAGCTTTTATCTGTTTTTATGCAATTTTATATTATTATTTATTATCTATAAAGTAAATAGCAGTTCTATTCCTTGCTATTGCTATTATCAAATTACATAGAGTCAAACCTCACACAAACATTGAGGAGCATATCATAAAGGTTGCATAGTCAGGAGTTTAAGTGGTTTATGGAAAATTTGCTCTGCATTCTAAAGAAGATTTAAACACAGTAAAATAAATAGTGCTTGCTATAGGCAAGGCATGTTTCTGCATGCTTTATATTGACTCTACAACTCTGTGAGGTAGGTACTATTATAATCCCTTTTTACAGATGAGGAACCAGAGAAGTTAAGGGAATTGTTTTAGATTACAGCAGCTCTTAAGCGTCAGGGCTAGGATTTAAACTGCAGCTCATTCTCTTAAAGCTATAACATTACAGTACATAATATTTGAGCATTTCAGGGAGAAGAGAATAAAAGTCATGCCAATTGTGTCATATAAGTCAGGCTATTACCTGGGGTGACCCTTTTCTTTTGACAGCTTTCTCCTTTTGATTGCTTTGTAGGTTTAAGGTTCCTAAGAGCACTGCGGCTGCTAGAACTCCCTCAAATCTTGCAAATTCTACGAGCCATCAGGACCAGGTAAATGCTAGCCCTGCCTGAAATACTGCTTACGTGCCAGTTTAGATTAGAAAATGAAAATGTTAACCGAATCTTAAACTCAACTCACTTCCCACCAGAATTTTGATGCAAAAAATCATGAACTTCCTCAGATCCCAAGATACTATTCACCTTCTCCCCTTGTATTACATCACCCTGGCTGAAAAGTCTGCAATAATTTTAAAGAGCTTGTTTACTCTTTGTTTCATAAACCTACAATGTATTAGTTCATTTTGGATTTAACTCTGGGTCCCTCCACCAAAAAACAAACAAACAAACAAAACCATCAAAGCAATTTGGAGGCTTTAGCTCCACATATCTGTTTCCATGAATCACGTCTCTTCTGGCTTGGTGAAATAAGATACATTTTTTTTTTCACA